ACTGCCTATTCTGCTCCCCATTCTGACTATGGTAAATCCTCTCACCACCCCTGCACCCCATTTCTGTATGCATAATAAATAAATCTTAAAAAAAAAAAAGGTGTTTACAGAAAAACTGGAAAGGCTGGTGAGAGGCCCACTGACTCCTCAGGAAGGTTCAGTAGGTACAAGGAGGCTGGACCTGGACTAAATCTACCCGCCCTCCCCCCGTTCGCCCCCTCAGGGCTCAGCTGCCATCCGCAGCCAAGCCAGAGTCCAGGTGGCCGGCCCTGGATGTCCTGCTGCTCCGCGCCCCACCTCCAGGAGGATGACTGCTCTTTCTTCTCCCTGTGACTTCCTCTCAGGGCAGAACCCATCCTGCATCTGACCCAGGTGAGCTCCCTGGGACGCTGAGGAGACCCCTGGGGTTCTCAGTTCTGCGCCCAGACTCATTCTCCCAGCCCTGGTGGGGGATCGGGTGCTGGACAGGCAATGAAGACAAATGTCACTACACATGCACCCCAGGCCTGCGGGCAACGTGAGCTCCGGGTGCCTCTTTCTGGAAGAGTCTGTGTAGGTTCTCATTTGATAGATTGCCCTGGAGTCTGGAGGCTGGGACTCATGATCCCGGGGAACTCTAAACTTCAGAGTGCCTGAGCCCCCGAGCTGTGTGCCGGAGACGCCATGGAGAGGTGTTTCCTGCGGCCCAGACACGCCGAGCTCACCAGCTGGGGTGGCTCCAGCTACCCACGCCCTCCTGACAAGGAGAGCTCTGTTTCTGCCAGGGCCTCCTCGGTTTCTCTCCATGAAGCAGCAGGCTGTGGGTAGGTTCCGACAAGCCCGAGGGGACTGGACCCTCCGGCCCCCTCACCTCTGAGCTCCCCTGTTCGACAATGGGGGTCATCACCCGCCTAGTAGTTGCTCCCCAAATCGAGTCCACCAGAAAGGCTTCCCAGCCATCCCCCCCTCAGGCCTCAGACCCTGGGGCGGCCTCCGGTTTCCGCTTCTTCCCGCCCGGGGTCATCTGACCCCTGGGTCCTGGGAGAAATTATTTAAAAATGGTGCATCTGATGGTATGGACCCCTGGGAACCCGGTGTTCCACATTTCGTTCTGAATTCCTCTGATGCTGACACGCTGCAGCCGCCGGCCATCTGTGGCTCTGCCCCTATCGCCTGCCTGGCGCTAGTCAGGCTGAGGTCTTGCCTTTCCAGCCTGGGGGCCTGGCTCTTGCGCTGTCTCC